TTTGGGTGGAAATAGTTTTTGCAGTTATTTAAGGTTTAAAAAGGGTTTGCGTTTACCTCTTGGTGATTGTTTTTTATTTCATCCACCTAATAATATAATTGTTTCATACTCAGAAACATTGACTCAGTCAAAACTAGCATATTTTAGGAGGGACTCTAGCAGATGCAAAATCTGAGTGGTTGTCAGAGGAAATGATCATATCAGCAGGAAGCAGTTTAATGAAAATGACAGGTTGGTGTTTTCAGAAGTCTGGAAGGAATCTCTTCAGTCTTCTCTAGCTAGGCTCTCGTTATTGCTGTTATCATTGTCACAGAGATCAACCATCAATGATTATTTACCACATTTCTGAGCTGTCAGAAGAGAAGTAGAAACCTTTAAATATTTTGAAAATGGATTAAAGCTTTAGTGATAGAACCTGAAAGGAATTTAGTGTCTTCTTAATCTTTGAAGAAGAATCACTTAGCAACACTTTAAGACCTGTTTCTGTTCTTAAAACATTTAAAAGATTTTTTTTTTGCCTCAAATACTGTGTTGCACATCTTGCTTTTTCTCCTTTAGCTGTGGTAATAATTTAACCAAAATAGTAATTTGCAAAAAGAAACATAAGTGGTCTAACTTGATGAGATAAATATTTTAATTTGCACATATTCCTTTCTAGTTTTTTCCCGTATACTTACATGTATGCTTAGTTTCAATTATAGTAAGAATAGGATTTTGTGGGTTTTATTACTTACTATTGTTAATCCATTTTTTTATGCCTTTATGGCCTTTATAATTTCCATTCTAGTGACTTTTTTGTTGACTTTTTTTCACCATTATAGATCATTTAACCATAAAAATCTTAAGTTTTTTTGATCTATTGAACCAATATGTGAGCAGATGGGGAAGACTAAGAAAGGAGTAGGCTTAGGGAGAAGGAATACATACCCGTTTGGGTCATGTTGATTTTGTATTAGATATCCACTGGGAAGTTCAGGTAGGCTATTAAATATTTGGGTCCAAAACTCAAGGAGGAAGATAGAGCTGGGGCATGAGAAGGAATGGGCTTATTTACTAGCCAGACTTAGAAAAGACGTTGAGGTCGCTGTGCGCAGAATGAAATAGAGTAGCTGAGGCACTGTAGAGTAGTGCTTAAGAACACACAGTCTTAACCACTGTCCGCATTCAAATTCTGGCTTTGCCACTTACTCCTTGTGAAGTATTTCGGAATCTATAAAGTTGTAGAAGTTGTAAGTTGAAAGTTGTCACTGCCTTATAGGATTGTTGTGAGAATTAAAAGAAATAATCCTTTAAAGCATATATTGTGAAGTCTGGTTCATTACAACCCTTTAATATATTATCTCTCATTACTATTGCTGCTACTCCATGTACATGGGCAGCCTGACATGGCTGGAGAGTAAAACACAAACATGCTGATGCACTTACTTTAATTTCATGATCATAAGCCTCAAGTGGGCCTTTGGTGCTGCCCATTATATTTACCTATCCATTCACTTTGTTATTCTCCTACACCGCTATTTTATAATTTATAAAATTGCATTTCATTTGCTTTTTCCACTGTGAGATAAGTGGGTCCAGAGTGCTGGCCTTCCTGATTTATTCATGGATCCCATTTCTTTAGACAGCTGTTTTTCAACTGTCTTCTCAAACCTAAAACCTCTAAGTCTTCCTGCCCCACCTTTGCTCCTGGTTGCCTATGCTTGCTCTCTTCACTTCCTTTCCTCTTGAACCCATTTCAATCAGCCTTTTGCTTTAACCACTCTATTAAAATTGCTCTTATAGAGCTCATCAATGACTTCCACCTTATTCAACTCAATGGTTAATTATCAGGGCTCGTTCTACTCTAACTTTCAGCAGGGTTGGAGATAGTTGTTCATTTCTTTATTTCTAGACACCAATCTGTTTTAGTTCTCCTTTACCTAACTGGTACTTCCTTTTCAGCCTCTTTCCATGTTTTTTCATTCATCATCTTGCTGACTTTTAAATATTGACATGCCATTGGTGTAGCTCTCACTCTTCTTATACTCTCTAGATATCCTTGTTACCTTGGTGATTTTATCAAGTTCTGTGATTTTAAATGCTATATATACTCTAAAGACTCCAGATTTATATCTCTATTTACATCTATATTATTCAGTTTTAATAAAAATCCATCAAATGACGATATATAGGGTTTTATTCAATAGCTGACATTTGGCCAGATTTACAGACATAGCACTTTTTGTACAGGATCAGTCAGAAAGTTAACTCTCCACTGTAAAGATGATTTGGTTTATAACTGGGGCAGAGAAGTTATCATTAAAATGTTCCTTTTGCCAAATAAGATTCCCAATACATAATAGAAATATTTATCCCTGGGAGTAAAACTGGCAAAAAAGCTATGTAATCCATTCTTATAAAGGTAGGTTGCTCTTTATTTATTCATTTCCTTCCCCACCACAATAATATGGTGCCATCTCTACACACACACACATACGCACACACATGACTGCTGGGATTATGGAACTGGGAGCATAGGCAGACTAAGAGACCATGTTTGTTTGTTTGCACTTATCCCAATTATGGTGAATAGAGGAGCCAGGACACTCTTGTGGACGTGAAATAGTTTGGAGGGTGTGGTTCAGTCTTCCGAAAATCAATGTAAACTTATATCAATTTATCTTATGTCATCTGTGCCAGGCATGTCAATTTCTTCCACTGTCTCACAATGTCAAAACCATCCCTGTCTTCTTCTGTATCTTTGCTATTTAATTAACATTCACACCCCTGTTATTCTTTCCCCAGGACACACATGTGGGTTGTGATCAGCCTGACTTGTGAAGATTTCCTAGCTTGGACACTCAAAGAATTTCTCTCTTTCCTCAGAAAAGAGTGTTGCACTTAGGTGCCCATAACTCGGGATGTATTTCAAGTGCACTGACAAACTTCCCTATGTGATAATGACAGAAACCATATTTTGTCTTCTGAATTCTCCACAGTAAATATTCACTGAAATGTTTGATTTACTCACTGAAGAAAGAATCTAACATTTACAATTTCATCCAATTTTGGTGTTCTGAAACTACTGATTTTCCTGGACATTTTGTAACTAACTTTTCAAAAAGGTATTCCCTACTTTATTTTGAGTCTGCCCGTTTCTTTTTATGAATAATTACTTCTTTTCATACTTGCCATCACTACTCTAGATTTAGTAGAGGGAAATTTGGTTTTTAAAGTATTTCAACTGTTTGAGTTTTATGTTTTAGTCTAGTGACCTATAAGTAAAACAAATGTTGTTTAAATAGGCTGATCAGCACAAAACTAATTCAGTATTCACACAGAATTTTGTGGTATGGCTGAAAACTACTTGGATAGACTGTAACAGACTACGGTCCTAAAAGTGTCATCTCTGCCTAAAGTCTGCATTTTGAAATGATCTGCAATTGTGGCTTCTACAAGGATTTTACAGAGGCATGTTCTCAGATTTGCATATAATTTGTATGTTTTTAGTGACATTGAAATCCAGCCGTAGGCACTGTCCTCATTAAAGTTTCATCGCTACTCTTCTCAAGGTCATTTTTTGATTTGTCTTTTTCTTTTTCAAATCTACTCAAAATAATTGGTCTAAATGCACTAAGCAGTGATTCTCAAGTTTACTATCTTACTGTCTACACCAACTGAGGCACCATCAACAGCAGTGGCTCGCTATCACACTGATTGACAGAGAGGAAGGGGGAGAGGGAGGAGAGAGGGAAAGAGGAAGAGACTCTATTTAAAGCTTGTAAAATTTGAGTTAACTCTGGTCGAAGTATTTGGAGTCTATAATATCTAATTGCTTCTTCAATTTCCTAATTCAATCCAATCTGTTAATAACTGATAGTTTGACTTAATTAATAGAAATGACCTTAGGATGTATAACAATTATGTTCTTCCTAATTGTTATATTATGAGTCCTACTAAAGTATAAAATCTTTGGCACTGGTCCTTGGTTTTATTATTTATATTCCCCTTCCCAACTCCTACATAGTGTGTGGATTGCCCTTAATAACTATTTGTTGAGTGAATGAATGAATGAGAGTCTCATTTGGAGGATGACTGATTTTGTGAATGAGGCAACATGGCATATCAGAAGGAGTTTGGATTTTGGACTCAGATATCCTAGGTTCACATCCCAACCTTGCCACTTAATAGCTATTACATTAAGAAAATTCTTTTAGTTTGAGGCTCATTTCTTATCTCAAGCCAACTTTCCTGAGGGGAAAAAAAGTAGTTATATATTGCCATCTATTTCTTCTTTATTTTCACTCATACTTCTGCTAACTAGTGTCCTATTCTTTCCTGGGATAATATAACATCTTCTGTAAAATGAGTCTGCTATGTTTTCATACCCTTAGGGAGAGATGAAGTTCCACCTCACACTGACTAAACCCCTTCCCCTCGAAAAGTTATTATTCCTGCTCCATCCCCGCCACTACATAGCTCAATGAAAAGGAAAGCGATTGAAAGGAATTGAAAGGAAAGCAGAAAGAGTTTTGCAATGTTACTCAGACAATATTGATTCTAGGAAGGGGAACAGATAAACAGATATATTATGCCCACCAATCCATTTTCCAACTAAAATCAAGAGCTTTAAGAACAGGAGTCTGTCCTGATTTAAAACACGAAGAAGAAAGAGAAGGAGGAGGAGAATAAGAAGTCTATTCTAATGACACTCTTTTAATGTTTAGTCTGCCAAACTGCAAAATTTTGGGTCCATTTTTAAAAAAATAATGGGCCGGTGCACACCCAGTGGCATAATGGTTAAGTTTGTGCACTGTACTTCAGTGGCCCAAGTTTCAAGGCTTCGGATCCCAGGCTCAGACCTACATACACACTCCTCATCAAGGCATGCTGTGGCAGCATCCAATGTACAAAACAGAGGAAGATTGGTACAGATATTAGCTCAGGGATAATCTTCCTCAATCAAAGAGGAAGATTGGCAACAGATGTTTGTTTAGGGCCAATCTTTCTCACCAAAATAATAATAATAATGGCCCAAAGTGTTTGAGGCAATGATTAAAACCATAAAGGCACTGATGAAAGTAGGGCTGGAGGATGGGAGTGGGTGAGAGATCTGTGAGGAGGAGATAGGCAAGAGAACCAAAATTGCTGTTTTCTTTACACATGGGATTTTTCTTTACTGGTCTTCTTTGCTTATACATTACATTTATTTTACCAGATTCTGCTTATCTCAAGATGGAAACTTTGAGTGTGTTTGAGGCCCTGAAAAGCAAGACTATGGTGTCCGATGTAGAGGTCACTTTGAGTCACAGCATTGGAGTAGGGTGGAATGCTTCTCGTAGAGATATAACAGCAAGCATCAATGACTTGAAATATTTTCTTGAGTTCCACTCAGTGCACCTGACTCCTATTCCCCAGGTGGCCCAAATTCAGTGGCTGAAGTGAGAGGAAGCCTGACCTGCGCTTCCTCAAGTCGGGTAACCGCTCTGGACTGTATGAACAATCCAGCCATGACAACCATCCAACTGTGGGGACGAGTGACATGGAGTTGGCAAAGGCTCCTTTTGAACCCTTTGAAGTAAACATGCAGATATGAGGTATTTGAAACTGACAGAAGTGCTATATTTTGCTCCAAGAATTTAAAGTTCTTCCTGAAGCCAGTGATGTGACACATTTCTTGTAGCAATCTGCTTATGATTCAAACTCAGAGGTGTGAATTTCTTTCTGATTCCTAATACATAATGTGCAGATGGGGAAGTATGAAGAGACGCTTAAAGAGTTTTTTCTTCCCTCCATAAAGTTATATTTGTTTACTATAGATGCTTATATCATGTATTTAGTAAGATACAATTTTACTGGAGGAGGATAAAAAAAATCCTTGTATAATATTCAACTTTATAATTTCAGATGTAATGTAATTGAGCACAGCTGAGCAATTAACTGATCACATTGATCTAAAACTGTAGCTCAAGTCAAAATAAAAATGCTGGTCACAGGCATTAATCCTTAGGCTTATGTTTTGGAAGAGGAAATGCTTCCAAGATGTCACATGCTTCTCTTTCTTCTTAAAGTGTTAAATGGCTTAGGCTTCACAACTCACTTCATTTCCTTTAGTCTCCCTTCCCTCCGACCTTCCCTCATTGTCTACATTTTGTCTCAGCTGACTAACTTCTAGGCCAGTAATGAGCCAGGGCTGGCAACACTTAACTCCGTGCAAAGGTTCAAGGATTGACAATGTGATTGAGACCTGTCACTCTTGCAAATATATCTTAAAAATGTATCGTATATGTTGTATAAGTGGTATTTGATGGTTTTCACTGAATCTGAGTAACAATAGCATTTGGCTGTTTGTGTATGCATAATTTAGCTGGGAAAATGGTAAACCTCCCTAGGAGTGTGACATTTTTGTGAAGCAACATGGAATCAGCTGCACATTTATCATGTCAGACAAGTCACCATTTACCTTTTATCTTCTTTACTTTGCTCTTTTTAATTCAGGGTAATTCCTTTAAGTAGCCTTGCAAAAAGGGAAATAAGCTTTACTGTCATTTGATTTAGTGTTTTATCTGACAGTTCCCAACAGACAGAAACTCCAATGTATTTGACTCTTAGAAGATAAGCAGTAAAATTCCTTATGGCTAAGAACAGAACATTTTACCACGAGTTTCCCTATTTTCAATAAATAAAAGATTTGATACCAAGTTTAACTTCAATAATAAGAATATAAACGAAGATCCGTTTTTTTTCAACTTTCTGGAAGGCTAATTTTCATTGCTACATTAAATGGAAATTTCTGGCGTCACAGAAATGAATAAGCATAATGGGCATCATCCCATATGTTGTTGAGGGCCATAGAATAAAGAAGGCATTTTAGGGAAATTTCTACTCCTGTTGTTTTCAGTGCGGGTTCTGGTGGTAGAGGTTAGGAGGTGGAATCCATTGCCATCTGTGTGCTGCATTTTGGTACGGGGTAGGAAGTTTTTAAAATACTTTGGACCTCAATAGAAAATAGAAGGTTTTTGAAATGCTATAGTCATTAATCAATATAATCATAAAAAATACAAGCTTTAGTCTTTATATTAAAACTACCTACTATCAGGATTAAAAGCAATTGTCACAATAAAGTTTTCATGAAAAAAAGTGTAGAAAACTTGTATAGATGGTAATTAGCATTGATTAATCTCTGATACAGATCAGAACCGGCGAACCCCGTGCCACCGAAGCGGAACGTGTGAACTTAACTGCTGTGCCACCAGGCTGGCCCCTTAAAATGTAGGATTTCTTTAAAGATAAATTTGTTATTTGCTATTTGTTAGTGGGATTCTGGAATCTACCAGAGTCAACGAGGGGGGAAAAGCACTAGTATGGAAGCAAAGAAGGTTACTGGTGTTAGAGAAGTTGTATTGTTGAGAGATCTAGGCAAGTTTTGATACCAGATAATTATTAAAATTTCAACGAAAGATTCATTTGTATGACAATTTAAAAATTTATAACTTGTTCTTATTGTTGGCAACTTGAATATGATGTAAATTTTTTTCCTTTACTTGCCTTAGCATTAATTTTGCCCTAAACTAATCAAAATGTCTAGAATATTTATTTAAGAATATAACCCCTTACGTTAGTCTTTATTTTTCTTAAGATCTTCAGAAATTTGAATTTTTGGTCCTAAATCTTCCAAGATAAGTCTAAAGCCTACACATCCTACAATCCTGTTAGTGGAATGCAATGTAAGAGAAAAAGATGGGCATCCTTGTACTTGGCGTAGAAATGTATTTGTTGCCATCTCATCATTAAACAGTGTTGGTAGGTGCTGGTTCCAATTTTAGATGTTTGTTCAAACTCTTGCCATTTTCTGCCAAGAAATGCTATCACTAATTATGTTATTTTGGTATACTTGCTGAGGTATAATTGTTTCTTTTATTTAAATACAGAATATATGCATATTCGAAAATGCGTTCTTTTTAAAGCTGTTGTTTGCAGATGGTTATTTTGAAATTTAAGTATACCTAGCATAAAGAGTTGGGCTTCCTTACACATCTCTATCTTTTACTTGCCACTGGAAGTGGTGGACAGCCTTTTGGTGCCTCTCTGTGGGGTTTTCCTGTATGTAAAATGAAGAGAACAGCTGCCACCCACTCATTCCACACTGAAGTGTGTCTTAAGGATCACGCATGTAAAAACCTTGCAATTTCAGAAAAGTGCTACCTCAGCCAAAGTTATTATGGGAATGAAAGTTAATGTTCATGTCTATCTCCATAATAGCCACCTGCTCTGTTTGCATATGTATTAAATTCTCTATCACTTTATATTACCTCCTACCCTTGCTAGAGAAACCACATATGTTTCCTGTAAAAATCTCAAAGTAAAAGTAATATTTCGTGAGTAGATTATTTTACAACAGAAACTAGGTAGGCATGTGACAGTCAAACCAGACCTTTAAATAGACTGTTTATAAAAAATATTAATGACAGGTTTCTAACTATGTCATACTAACAACTACAATATCATTGAAAAATAAGACTTCTAAATTTTGTATGTGCATGTTTTTTTCCCCACCGGGGACACTGGTGTCATGTCTTTTTTTGTAGGGCATAATTTGATTTTACTTTCAATAGTAGCAATTTTGAGTCAGATGGAAATCACAATATCATGGGAAATGGTTTGCAAATGTATATTCTCTAATGATCCTTCTTGATGTGTAACACAAGGAATTGCCCTGATTAATGGACATATTTTGCTTACTGGCTTAAAATCCTTGGCCAGGGGCTGGCTGGTAGCATAGTGGTTAAGTTCAGCACACTCTGCTTGGGTGGCCCAGGTTCACAGGTTCAGATCTTGGATGCAGACCTACACCACTCATCAGCCATGCTGTGGCACCGACCCACATACAAAATAGAGGAAGACTGGTACAGATATTAGCTCAGGGCTAATCTTCCTTAAGCAAAGAATAGAGGAAGATTAGCATCTGATGTTAGCTCAGGGCAAATCTTCCTCAGGGGAAAAAAAATCCTTGGCTAATTCTGCTTAAGTCTAATGGGATAGAGACCCAAGGAGGAACCTATACATAATAAAGGTGTACTCTAAGGGAAGTCATACTTTCCTTGTTCTATGAGTTTTCTGAAGGGAGAGGGTCCAACTTTGAAGATATATTAACAAATGACATGAAACAAGACATTGAGTTAGCAAATACGACTATCAAATAGATTGGATTCATTTTTGCCTCACAGCACCACCCATTTTATTTTATAAAGGTCATTATGTAAACTAATATATTTTCACTATAGAAAAATTGGGAAAAAACACACAAAAAAGAATGATAAAAATTAAGATTTCCATAATCCCACTCAGAGAAAATCACTGCTAACATTTTGGTTATTGTATTTCTAGTGTTTGATATATGGGTCTATATTATATGCATTCATAGCATTGAATTAATAGTACATATGACTATATTTTCAATTTTTTTAGCCTTGCCTTTTTATGACCTAAACATCCTTTTTAATGGACTCATAGCTCTGTATCATGTGGATGGCTCCCCAACTTTGAAGCATACCTATTATCTCAACTCCTTGAATGCCAGCTTCCAGGCTGAGCAAATATGGTTGAAAGCTTGGAGTGCTACCAAATTCTTTCAACCTGAACTATAATGAGTAAGGTCTTCTGCGGACATTGATATATTGCGCATTTTTGGAGGAGACGCTCAAAGGTCCCTGTTTCAATTACCTCACCCATAAAACAAGGAACGCATTTCCCATTTGACCTTATAGAAATGTTTTCTGGGTAAAATGACATATAAGATGTTCTATAAAAAATGATAGGAAAAAATAAATGCAAAATGGCTTTGTTTTTGATGCTGAGTTGTGATGGATTTAGGTTGACATATGTCTTTTTCCCTGAGATCAACATCTCTAAGGTTCAGTGTACAAGCTGAGTAGATGCACTATTTTGTTGTAACTGCTTGATCTAGCCAGCACCATGGATAGATCCTTCAGGAGTATGTGGTGTTAAATCCAAAGATACATAGGAATTAAATCCAAAGTGTTTGTGAATTAGATTTCTCTTCAACTTTACGCTAAGGCCAGTTAGGGAAAATACCCAGACATATAAACATGAAAATCACAAACTTGTAAACATGAAAATTACAGACTGGGAACTGTATGATGTAAGGATCCTTCTCTCTAGTGCAAAATGAATGTCTTGTATAAATTAAGATGTTACTACGTTACTTTTAAATAATAATATAAAATAGACACAGACATTGTAACAGATGCTTTTAGTTTCCTGTCCATCAGCCATTTCTATTTTTTTTTCTTGTCAATTGTTTGTAGCAACCACGTTTTCAGTCCCAAGTGATAAATCAAAATTTGCCTAAGTCAATAATGTTATCTTTGTTCCCTGGTGCCAGATACATACTTTCCTAGCTTCCTTTAGAGCTGAAGTTTGGAAAGAAGAAGAGTTATACCTTTGTTGACATTATTAGGCTTATATCCAGGCTTCTTCTTGTTTTAAAAATTAAATATCATTTTTGTTTAATCCTCTGTTCATCTGGTATTTTGCTTCTTATTGTTGAAGAGATTCTTAAATTATATGTAATATAAGTATAATGGAGTACCTCTCTGCAAGATTTATTTCTTCTTTATTTTTAAATTCCAACACCTAAAATAATGTTTCCCATATGGTGGGTGTTAATAAATAGATGGTGAATAAAATGGATACAAAAACATATATTTATATATATTCAGGGCTTTGCAACATGTAGAGAAATTTACCTAAACCAAATTATAAAGAATATGAAGACAGGGATTTTATCTTATTCACCAGTCTTCTCTGAGTTCCTAGTGTAATATTTGGCTATGGCAGTTCCTCATTTAGTATATTTTAATTAGTGAATTGACTAAATAATGAGTAAAACATTAAATCACATGATTACCATAATAACCATACAAAGCATATATGATGAGTATTCATACTCACTATTTACAGATGAAGAAACTGATGCTCAACATGTTCAAATTATTCACTCAAGGTCACATTGCTGGTAAATGTTAGAAAAGGAGCTGAAACCCAGATCTTCTCATTCCATGGCTAACACTCTGCACATCGCCATAGTACCATGTTGTTCATTTACAAGTATGATTAAATACATAAGAATTGGTTTATACTCTAGCAATTTTTTGCTTCAAGACTTTCCATATAAAAGGTATATTGGTTAGGATGTTTTAACTTCAGCAGCTTCAGGTCACACTTTCAGGCTTGGCAACTTCCAGGGAAAGAAATAGAACAATCTCTTTTCTTTGTTTTCTTTTTTGGAGTGAATTCTCAGAATTCCCAGTAAGCTTCCCCCTCATTGGGCAGGTTATCATCACATGTCTGTTTCTAAACTAATCTCTTACCATGGGAGTGAGATTGCTATTGTTTAGAGTGAAATGGTACTAGAGAATTGAGATTGCTATTTAGAGTGAAACGATGTTGGAGAATTGAGATTGCTATTGTTTAGAGCAAAATGCTGTTGGAGAATTGATCATAATGACTAGTACTTAGGGGCAATGCACTACTGTAATACCACTTGCTAATATCGTATTATATAAGGTTGCTTGAGAAAAGGCAAATATGTATGTCTTTCTCTTTAAAAAAAAATCATTGTGATTCTTATATCCATACTGAGGAAAATTAAACAAACCTAACTATGCATGTAAAGTAGAATCTGACTCATTTTCTGATGTTCAGTTTCTGATAGACTTAATCACCTCTCCCTTTTCTCTTTCTGCCCCATCCCCTGAGCTGGGCAAGCTGATAAGAAAGCCTGCATGCTTTCTCCTTGGGTGCCAGTGGGAAATTCAAACCATGCAAACCCCTGCGCGCCAGCAGGAACCCTCATCTCGGCCCCACCCCCATACCCTCATAAAAACCCAAAGCCAAACACCTTTTCCTGCTATCTCAAGCCGTTTGCAGCCCATCTGGGGAGATACACTCTGGTCTCCCCAGGAAACCTCATTATATAAGTAATAAAAGTTTTTATACCCTCTTGGTGTGTGTATGGCCTCACCAATGAGAATATCTGATCCAAATTTTGGATGGGGATCTACGCTGTCTTTATGGAGTGATCACAACAGGAAGAATGATAGCTATCAGAGATTTATGCAATATAAACATTTAAAGCTTCATTTCCCCTTTGCTGGCAAATAGATCAACCTTATTAACGAACTGTTAACCTGCTATTTATTATGTGTGATTTGAGCTATACTCTGAAGTCCAAATTACCTGCTTTTCCACCCCACAACATTCTCCTGCTACTGCTACTATTGGAATTGCTTCCGTAGTAATTCCTAAGTGTTGAGCTTTCGTGTCTGCTTCTAACGTTTTTGTAAACTACTCCAGGAGATTTTAAGACCCTAATGCTTCTTTCTAAGTGAGCTTCTCAAATGTTTTCAACTAGATAGAACAGGCCTAAGCACTGTCTCTCTCACTCTCCATATAGATATATATGTTTATATATACACAAACACAAATATATAATCCTGGAAATGATGTAAGAGACACATAAATAGAAGGAAATGCAACAGAAAAAGTAAATGAGATAGAAACTCTGTTGTAATATGAGAAATCCAGATTCTTTATGACACTCTGAACAAGCAAGGATCATAAGTGACCCTTAAACTTAAGACTCTTAAACAAGAACCCTAAGTTTCTTCAATATTAACCTTATAAAATATCACTTTAATTATTTTATTGCTACGTTCCAAAACCTCCCATTGTTCTGTTTTCTGCAGCAATAAATCTAACCTCTTCCAACAGGCATGTAAGTTCCCCTTTATCTGACCACTTTCTAAATTATGCATACTTAATTCTCAATATTTGTCAACTCTTTTACTCTAACTAAGTCTATTTCTTTCGCCTCTAAATTCTCTAGCAATTGACTCATTTTATTCTTCCTGCTGGGAAAGCCTCATCTTTTTACTTCAAACCACCTAAATCTCATGCATCTTTCAAGACTCAGGTAAGCCATCCTTTCAGTTTAAAATTGATTGACTCCCTATTTTGCATAAAATACTGTTCTCAGTGTCAGTAATATAAAATAGTGATACGCGCGTAATGTCTGCCCTCAATGAGCTTAGAGTTTAATGAGGAGAGAGCCAAGTTAACCAACAAATATGTGAGCATTGAGACTTTGAATCACAAAACTCATAAAGGGAACACATTGGAAGAGCACCTCAGCAAGTCATTAACTACTCCAGCCATCACTGCTCTTTTCAATCTTGTGACATCTACATAACCTTTTCTTGCACCACACAATTTAGCACTTAATTAATATTCTCTTGTGTTTTTCAATGTTGTTTCAGAAGTTGAAGGTGGAGAAACTGTTATTCAATAGATTCCTCCTAGGGAAAAAAACTGAATTTCTTTCATAGAAAGGTTTTGGTAAGCAATTTGGGTTAGGGGCTGAAATTTGATGGCATGCATGTCTAGCTGAATTGCTACGAATGAGAAAATAAGAATTCATATTGTTCCTGAAAAATAAAGAGGTGGGGGGAAGGAGAAAGAAAAGACAGAGACAACAGAGGAAGCAATTAGAGACAGTGGGAATTCATCCTGTTTGTGATATGAACCCTCACTATCACTCCTGAATCTTCAGCAATGTAGTCAAACTACCGAAATTCATGATGCAGTTGTAAGTAGGTGCTGTGTGCAATTGTGTGTGTGTGTTGAGAGAGAGAGAGAGGGAAAGAGATATTCTTTGTCTCTGACATGGGTCAAAACAGAGATAACACTGGTAAATGGAGTCCTCTGTCAACCATGCGTTAACTAGGCGATAAGCTTCCTTAAGTCAGGGACTGCGATTCATTTTTCTCTGCATAATGTGGAGCAAAGAAGCCATCTAATTTTTTTGAACAAGTCCTGTAATTTCTGAAAAATCAAAATTAATGGTTGGGGCTGTAGTGGATGTGGCAGAAGGTACCAGGGACAGAAGGGGACGACCTCCCTGGAAGTGAATGCACATCTATTAAGTAACCAGCCAGCTATGAATGTTGCTTCTCGCTGAGGATTTCCGTAGAATCAGCAGCACAGCTTTTCTGCCTTTCTGATGGTCTGAATGACGTTCGCCTCCAGACCTGCTGCATGTGATTAAACAACGTGAATAACAGCATGCCCCAGGAGAACAGTGTGCGGTCGTCTGTGCCACAGGGTTGGAGGGATTGGCTCTGTGCTGCCTGTCAAAATGCATAACCTTATGGGCCAGAAAGGCCACAGCCATTTCCTGTGTGGATACAGCAAAGTTACTGAATGAATTCTTGACCTGAAATTGTCCTTGGTCAATATACACCAGGGGGAAAACAAATCCTGTGCTATAATGGGACTGACTTCCAACGGTTTTGGGCTTGGAGGAGAAATGGTTGATCAACTGACAAAATTGTAATGCAAAAGAAGCCACTGTGCTACTCATCATATTAACACTCACTGATAATAGCTTTATAATTGTATTCCAAACGCTCTCCAAACTGCAATATTTTTTTTGCAGTTGGGGCTTTCCACGACACTTCTTGTTGAACCCCACGGGAAGCCAACTCCCTTATGTTGCCCAATGTCTTTGTCAAACACATTTAATTCAAGCCTCAATTGTGGTGGAATTTCACCGGTCTGGTTTCAGACCCTCTCAGAACTATAGATTTCATGGTCATTTACAGATTTTGGAATTAGAGCCTCTGAAGCCTCCCACCTGATATCTGCATTTGTAATTCATCAGAAGTGATTTTTATGAGCAGTTAGTCTCTGGAGCCTTATTGGAAGCAGATAGGATGGTCCCTACCACCCCAAGTTATTGAATTCAAAAGTCGAGGACAGGGCCTGAAAATCTCCACTTGTAACAGAGATTTCTGGCGACTCTATAAACCATCCTTGACATTAACCAAGTGAAAGACATAAAACATACCAAATCATCCCTATCTGTTTTACGCAGCAACTACTAAATGGCTTAACATTTTCATTGATGTTATTAGTTGTTTTGACACTCATTGGACAGAACCTCAGAGTCTCAGTTTCACACAGAGACAGTGAAAACCAAACAGAAAATAAGAGGGAAATTAAACTTATTGTAAAACTGACTGTTCTATAATGTCATCAGGGGAACTAGAAGAATATTTGCAAGCAATAAGAAACATAAAATGAGAGGAATTAAGAAATTAACCAGGATATTATTTTCTATACTTTAATAAGAAAAATTCAGTTATAGCACTCTAAATAAAATGGTCATTAAGGACTTCCTTCTTCCAGAAAATAACAAATCTTTCTCAGAAGACAAATCTTTCTAGCTCCCAGCTCACTGAAGATTTGGAGAATAGCCAAGAAACTATCTCTGAAGCTATGAAATGTACACAGCACCCTCTATAGGATCTCATGTTTTGGGGCATGACTATTGAAGAGCTCTTATTCTAAGGAAGGTTCAAGAATACCACTGACAGACTAGAAAAGTCTGTCAAATATCATTAGAAAAGATGATGAATATGAATTAGGCATTTAAGAGAAAGAGATAAAAAGTTTTTCAAAATTCTTAGGGCCGGCCTGGTGGCACAGTGGTTAAGTTCACGTGTTCCACTTGGGCGGTCTGGGGTTTGCCAGTTCGGATCCCAGGTGCAGACATGGCACTGCTTGGCACGCCATGCTGTGGTAGGCGTCCCACGTATAAAGTAGAGGAAGATGGGCATGGATGTTAGCTCAGGGCCAGTCTTCCTCAGCAAAAAGAGGAGGACTGGCGGCAGATGTTAGCTCGGGGCTAATCTTCCTCAAAAAAAATGTGAGAAAATTCTTTACAGAGTCTGGAATTCTATAATTGAAAAAGATTCAGTAGTTTCCATGAGAGAAAGACGTCTACTGTGAGAAAGTAGAAATAGACATATATATTTATTTAAATCTACTTCCTGGTAGTGAGACTTGAGCATGGGTTTGGGGGGAGCTGACTTTTATGTCTGTGCTGTTACTGTATGGTGAACAACCGTCTCGGTTTGCCTGGGACTGAGGGGTTTTCTGGGACAGCGAGCAATCGGCACTACAACAGGTCAAGCCCCAGGCAAACTGGGCAGTTGCTCACCTAGTTAGTTGCCTCCATGACCTCCACCCACTCCCGGATGGAGAGTGACTCACCTAGCCCCGGCTCCCTCACCACAGCGATTGGTTCAGGCAGGAACTTACCCTAAGTAGGTTTGACATCTGTGAAGCCAAGGACTTGTGCTTGAGAGCTTGAGGAAGAGAAGCCCTCCCTTTCAGGGTGGTCTTGTGTTCATATAAATATGAACCAGAGCTGCTACGGCTATTTTTACTACAATGAAGCAAGCAAAGCTCAAGAGGAAATTGACACATGGAAGAGGGTAGAGTTCTAAAAATAAGGGAGAGGAACTGGATTCTTGATGACAGTGGGCCCTCTCTAGCAAACATTGTCTAAAACCTACCACACCCAGGACTATTTATATAGTAGATTCTTGATCGTCACGGGCTGGGAGAGGGGTAATGGGTAGTGACTGATAATGGGTACAGACTTTTGGTTTGGTTTTTCGAGGTGATAAAAATGTTCTGGAATTGGATGAGGTGATGGGTGTACAACCTTGTGAATATACTAGAAACTACTGAAATGTACACTTTAAAAGAGTGATTTTTATGGTATATGAATTGTGTCTCAATTTAAAAAAACCATTTGTGGTTATTTAGCATGTTTTCACTTAGCATGTTTCATTAGGTGGATGCATCACCCACTTGGAATACTGCTAACCCATGAAACCCCATGAATCAAAGGACAGAATTAGGAACAGAGAGGGAAATAAAAGTTTGTGTAGAAAGATGTCAATTTCTTTCATGAAGTATACAGGTATACAAAATTTGATAATAAAACAATGACTACCTAGATACCACCTACCACCAAGTTTCAGAAATAAAACTTACTTCCATGTAGCTATACGTTTTTACCTTCCTATTTTCTCCTTAGTAATAACCATTGTCCTGTATTTGGTGCTGTTCAAACATATTTGTCTGAAAATAACATGGAATATTGTTTAGTTCCAGCCATTAGTTTTGATGGATTCTACGTCAACATAAACCCCTCCCACCCTTTTGTCTTTCTCCTTGATCCCATCCCCCTTACATTCCTCCTTCTTTTCTTCACCTTACTTTAAGCTCAGGTGGGTTTTCTAACCTAGGGTAGGAGTATGATAAGGGCAATTTCTGGGAGACAGAGAGAGCTCATTCTCTTGCCTCTTCCTGTCTACTCCATGCAGGGAGATCTCTGCAGCAGGCACTCTGCCTAGAAGCCAACCCTGAGTTGTGTAGGCATGAAAATTTTCACCTGCAATAGCAAGAGGAAAATATCTATGGCAAACACAAGACTTCACATTTAATAGCTCCTTTAGATAAAATCTGCTTTCAAAATTTTTATTAGGTGCAAAGGAAACGGGTTTGTTTGAAAACCAATCTCCTGGAATAAATACTTGTGCATTATGACTATTAACTGTTAACATTAATAAATATTAATATATTCTATATAATGCATGCATATATGCAATATTATATAATGAATAATTATCAGTTATTTTGGTAATAAATAATATACAATTATATATACCGTGCATGCTATATTAACAAATATTAATATTAAGAACTATTAATATTAACCTTAACAATGGGGTAAGGTAACATCCTTAGGTAAAGTGCAAGAATGATGGATTCCTCATTATGCAGTGTTTCTGTATTCTGTCTCTCTACACCACCAATCTCTTCTGCTAATCATATGGTCCTAAGGACAAGACTTGAAGATAAGCAAGGAGATTCAACAGATGGAAGGTGCCTTGAGCCTAAACACACCTGCTCTAATAGAGTCAGGGGCAAGTACTCCTGGTCATGGTGGAAACTTGCTGATATCCTGCTGAGTCTCTATGGCTTTTATCTGTGTTTTGGGAAAAGGACACATAAGGCCAGAATGGTTGTCACATATGGATACCTGACTGCATAGCTACC